AGAATGCTTTTCATTTTACTTTCACTTACTCCATCTCAAAATCTCTTCCTTTATGTAGATCTGAGTTTCTGACCTGTATCATTTCCTTTCTGTCAAATTTCTTGTAATACAAGTCTACTAGCCACAAATTCCCTGAATTTTTGTCTGAAAAACTTAAAAAAAAAAAAAAAAACTTTCTTCCCCTCCCCTCCCCTCCCCTCCCTTCCCTACCCCTCCTTTCCCTGCCTTTTCCTTTCCCTTTCTCTCTCTTTTTTTTTTTTTTTTTTGACAGTCTCACTCTGTTGGCCAGGCTGTGATTTTCCTGCTTCATTTTCTCGATTAGCCAGGATTACAGGCGTGTGCCACTGTGCCCACCTAAGTTTTGTATTTTTAGTAGAGGCCGGGTTTTACCATGTTGACCAGGCTGGTTTTGAATTCCTGACCTCAAGTGATCCACCTGCCTTGGCCTCCCAAAATGCTCGGATTATAGGCATGAGCCATCACATGTGGCCTGTTTCTCCTTTACTTCTGAAGGGTAGTTTTGCTGGATCCACAGTTCTAGGTTGCTGTTTTTTTCCTCTCAACACCTTAAGTGTTTCACTTCACTTTTGTATTGATTAGCTGGTTTTTGAGGAAAAGTCAGATTTTTGTTTGTTTGTTTTTTTACTCCTTTAAGCTGTTAAAATTCTTTATCCCTCAACTTTCTGCAGTTTGAATATAATATGACTAGGTGTAGGTTTTTCCCTGAGCTTCTTGAGTCTCTAGTTTGGTGTCTAACATTAATTTAAGAACATTCTTAGTTATTATTGCTTCTAATTTTCTTCTGTTCCTTTTCCTCTTCATCTTCTGTTATTACTGTTATACATATATTATACCTTTTGTAGCTGTCCCATAGTTCTGGGGGTTTTTTTGAGTTCTTTTTCTCTGCTTTTCAGTTTTGGAAGTTTCTCTTAACATATCCTCATGCTCAAGAGATCTTTCATCTGGCTTGTTTATGAGCCCATTAAAGGCATTCTTCATTTCTTTTACAGTGTTATTGATTTCCAGCATTTTTTTTCCGACTCTTTCTTAGAATTTCCATTCCTCTGCTTATGTTCCCCATCAGTTCTTGCATATTGTCAACATTGTCCTTTAGAGCCTTAAAATAGTAATCATAGTTTAAAAAACATTTCTGATAATTTCTGCCATTTCTGACTCTGGTTCAGATTTTTGCTCAGTTTTTTCAAATGATGTTTTTTGTCATTTAGAAGGCCTTGTACTTTTTTCTTAGTAGGTAGATGTGATGTCTTGGATAAAAGAAACTGCAGTAACAATGCAGTGGTAAGGTATGTTGGGAGGGGAAGCATTCTAGAATCTTATGATTAAATCTCAGTCCTTTAGTGAGTCTATGCCTGTGAATTGTGAACCTCACGGTGCTTCTCATTTTCATTTTTCTCATTAGTTGCGATAGGATGGCTAGTAGGGGCTAGGATTTGTAGGTGACACTGAGGTATGTTCATGCCACTACACTCCAGCCTGGATGACATGTGAGACTCTGTCTCTTTAGAAAATAAATAAATAAATACAATATAAAGTGTCCACTGTGAGAACCTCAGAGCTCTTGGAGATAAAACTCACAAAAGCGTGGGAGTTCCCTAAGATTGAGTTCCTCTGGAGTTTCTAATTCTCAGTTCTGCCTACATTGAGTCTCCAGCAATTCAGTAGTTACAGTTAAGGTTTTTCTACCCTGATACCGGTTCTTATGCATATTTCTGCTTCTTGGTGTTTACTCTGGTAAATTGTCATTCTCTGTTTCCAGTCTGTCTCTCTCTACAGAGTAAGGAATGACAAAATTACATCTCATTCAGAGCTACTGCTCTTGGTTTTACAATATCTTTATATCCTTAACTTACCACAGTGTAACTTTGAATATTATACCACTTTTCCTTCTTTCCTCCTCTCCTTTGTGCTTTTTCACCTGTTTTACTTATGCGTATGTAATAAACCTCACAATACATTGTTATTATTTTGGATTTAAATAGGCATTAATTCTTTCATGATATTTATTACTTATGTTACTTTTTATTCCTTTGAGCAGATCTGAATTCCTTCTGATATTATTTTTCTTTTGCCTATAGAATTTCATAACAATTCTTATAGTGTAAATCTACTGAATATAAATTGTTTCAGTTTCTTTCTGTAAAGTCTTTATTTCACTTTTATTTTGGAAAGGGTATTCACTATGTATAGAATAATAGTGACAGTTTTTTCACGTATTTTGTCATCCAGTTGTCTTCTGAGTTTTATATCTTCTGATGAGAAGTCTGCTGTCATTCTAATCCTTGCCTCTTTGTATTTAATGTCTCTTTTTCTGACTGCTTTTAACATTTTCACTTTATTACTAATTAGAAATTTCATTATCACATGCTTTAGTTTAGTCTGATATCATTTTTTTGCTTAGAATTCATTGAGCTTATTGGATCTCTGGTTTTATATTTTTCGTAAAATTTGGTGAATTTTTTTTCATTGTTTCTGTAAAAATGTATATGTTTTTGTCACTCTTCCTTACCTGGAATTCAAATTACATTTTTGTTAAATGGTTTAATATTGTTCTGGAGGTCACTCATGCTCTCTCATATTTTTGTAGTCTTTTATTCTTTAGCCGCTTTATTTTGCATAGTTTTTATTTTTTGTGTATTCTAGTTCACTGATCTTTTCTTTTGCAGTTTCTAAATTGCTGTTCATTTCATTCAGTGTAAGTTTTGTTTCAGATACTACATGTTTAACCTTTAGAAGCTTGACTTGTATATATATGTAAAAGGACAGAAATGTACATTTAGAAGAAAAGAGAGACATGAAAATCTCACATATTGTGTGTGTGATGTATCTTTTATTACCCTGTTATTTTTTGAATGGATGTTGGATATTGCACATGGCATTTATTGGGTGCCTGAATTTGTTATGTACTTTTACATACTTTTGACTTTTGCTCCGAGAAGTAATTAAATTACTAAGAAGAAGTTGGATCTTTTTTTTTAAATTTTATTGTGGGATGGAGTTTGCTCTTATTTCCCAGGCTGCAGTGCAATTGCATGATCTCGGGTTACTGCAACCTCTGCCTCCTGGGTTCAAGCGATTCTTTTGCCTCAGCCTCCTCAGTAGCTAGGATTACAGGTGCCCACCACCATGCCCAGTGAATTTTTGTACTTTTAGTAGAGACAGGGTTTCACCTTGTTGGCCAGGCTGGTCTCGGGCTCTTGACCTCAGGTGATCCACTCACTTCGGCTTTCCAAAGTACTAGGATTACAGGCATAAGCCACCACGCCCGACCAGAAGTTGGATCCTTTTGAGGCTTAGTTTTAAACCTTCCTAGCTGGGACTAGAGTAACTTTTAACCTAGGACTCATTTAGCCCTACTTCCACAGTGATGCTTTCCTAAGGATTTTCTAGTATCTCATGTAGTAGGAGCCATTTTGGCTGCTGGGAACGTAAAATATTCCTGGCTTTGTGTGAGATCTGAGATTGGTTCCACTTGCTACCTTGTGATTCTTCTGTTTTTGGCCCTTGGGAAGTTTTTATTCACACATGCACAGGTCAGTGCTCTTTCTAATACTTGAGGGAACCCTTCTGCAATCGCTGTTTGCTCTCTGTGTGGCTGTTTCGGTTCCAGCATTCTGCCTTTCAAGGCCCTGTGGCCTTGGCCTCCCTATTCTCCAATCTTGTCTTCTGAACTTGGCAAGAAAGAAAAAGAGACTCTGGTTTTTGACTTCTTCTCTGTTCCGTGGCATTGAAATTGTTTCCATGGAGTAAGTTAGGGCAATCGTAAGCGTCTCTCACCTATTTCGTGTCTCCTCTCCATGGGATTATATCTTGCTGAAACCTTTGATTCACATTTTTGGTTTGTTTTGTTGTCATTTAAAGCAGAAGGATAAACCTTGTTGCTGTTACTTCATAATATTCGTAAGCAAAAATCCTGCCTTAATATTTTTTATTTCCTTTCTATGTTTAGAGATGATATTGTAGGTTGTTTTTGCTGACACATAAGGGGCCTGTTGGCATTTGCCTCTTAGTTTCAGTCGTTATCTTTTTTGGGATCTTGATAAAAATCTTGTGTTGCCTATATAGGATATCATTGCTGGAGGACATTACAACTCTCTGTTTTCATAATAGAGGCAGTCATGTCCTAAGCAGAGGTTGTATAGATTTTGCCTGACTTGTGGTACCATTTCTTAAGATATGCAACAACTTGGTCACTGGTTTTTCTTCCACGGCTTGTGGTTTTAAGAATATTCTTCAACTAATGAATTCACCACCTACTTCATTCTTGGGTTGTGAATCCCTAGACTTAAATTCTGTTCTAAGAGCCAAACATGCAACGTGCTGAGTTGGTTGGTTTGTTTTCTGGAAAATTATTGGGGCAAAATGGATACTTTGATTATGGAGGGAAAGAGGCAGATTTTTCAGATGAAAGGTGTTCAATTCCAAATTCTGGTTTATTCTAAAGACAAGGGTAGAGTAGATGTGTCATGAGAAAGTGAAAGAAGCTCAATCTGTAAACAGTAAATTTTATAGTGAGTGGGCATTATAGGACCACAGATGAGTAGAGTGACACTATATCTTGTTTGCTGAGGACAGTCCTGGTTTATACCTGTTGTTCTGGAATAATTAATAGCACCCTCTTTCACTCTTCAAAGTGTTGTAGTTTGCATGATAAAATATATATATATTTTATGTATATATATAATTTAATTATTATATATTATATATATTCTATATATAATATAGAATATATATATATTCTATATGCAGTATAGAATATATATATATTTATAAGTAGATAGGTATATAATAGAATATATATATATATAGTCACCTCCTTAGAAGGGATTGATTTAAAGACTACAAGGTAAATGTTGATTCCTTGGTTATTGTCATTTCTTGAAAGATGGATTTACTGTTTACTTTGTGTTTTAGTTAAATAATATGCAGTATATACTGACTAATAAATATAGTTTTATAAACTTCTGGTGTTTTTTCTGTAGATGATCTCAATGCCACCCACCAACACTGCGTTTTGGCTGGTTCGCAACCTCGGTTTAGTTCCACCCACCGAGTGGCAGAGGTAAGTGTAAATAAAAATGTGATTTACACCTAACTGAATGTGACAGAAGTGGTTGAATGAGCAATTTATCATAGGGCTTTGGAAGAGTATTTGATGGGAAAATTGCTTCCATCTAACTTCACTCTTGTCTCTGTTTACTTGCTTTTTGAGCTTTGGATTGTGTTGGATACAGTTTTAGAAAGCTTATTCATGGCATGGGATAAGTGTATTTTGCTTCTTGGGGTTATGTTTCTTGGAGAAGGAAAATGTCATTGACAAGTGTTTATAGTTAGAGGTTTATTTAGAGGGTTGTATCTGTCAAGGCCAAAAGCAGGAGATCACCAGAGGAATTGGGGCAGATTTTTGCACTTGTGCATGTGTTAGCTGTGGCTGGGTTCAGATGTTGAGAATTTTTAGTTCTCTTAACTTTTTGGTAGGACTTCTGGGCATGTGAGTGTAAATTAAAGAGAAAGTTACACTGTTGCCAAGGAATTTCTGAGCACCCCAGTTGTATTTATAGCACAGACTTTATTGCTAAATTCTGCCACCACTTGTAATGGCCGATGGTTAGCTGTTCAGACTAGTTCAGAATGGAAAACTAAGAAATGAGAAAGACTCATATTAGTCATGTTGGGGTCCCATGTACTCAGTTAAGAAGGGTTCTGGGCTGGGCGTGGTGGCTCACGCCTGTGATCCCAGCCCATTGGGAGGCCAAGGCGGGTGGATCATGAGGTCAGGAGTTCAAGGCCAATCTGGCCAACATAGTGAAACCTCATCTCTACTAAAAATACATAAAAATTAGCTGGGTATGGTGGTGTGTGCCTGTAATCCCAGCTACTCAGGAGGCTGAGGCAGGATAATCCGTGAACCCGGGAAGCGGAGGTTGCAGCGAGCCGAGATCGCACCATTGCACTTTAGCCCGGGCGACAATGTGAGACTCCATCTCAAAAAAAAGAAAAAGAAGGGTTCCATGGAGCAAGGCATGAAAAGGATTACAAGTGACCTTCTACCTAAGCTTGGTATCTGTGCTTTGCTTTATAGCTTGACTTTTCAAGGGACTATAGCGTACAAGTGTGAGAAAATTGGGTGGAAGTTGTACATCAAGATGGCACGAAAGTACAGGACAAGGTCCTCCAGTGGCAGTACTGCGTGAGTCTATATGGGAGTGTCTTATCTTTTGGTCATTAAGTAGCTTTACCAGTGGACCAATCATACTGCTGTGTGGCAGAGAGAATGAATGAGTATTTAAACCGAGATGCCAGCAAGGCTGTCTAGCACTCCTTTCTGCCTTTCTCCCCTTTCTTCTCTCTTCCAGTCACTCATTCATTTAAATATTTGAGTGCCTGTTATGTGTCTAACACTGTAGACCTGGGAGATGGAGCTGTCAACATGACCATGATGCCCACCACCTTTGTTGAACTTTAGTTGGGGAGACAAATTTTAAACAAATGAGCACAGAAATAATTGTCTTAGAGACCTAAAAGGAGTTGTGTTAGCAAAGAGGGAAGGGAGGGAGTAAGATAGGGAAAGATGAACAGAGGAGGAAGGGAGGAAAGAAGGAAAGAAGAATGGAAGGAAGGAAGGGAGGGAGGGAGGGAGGGGAACGGAGGGGAAGGGAAGGGACAGGGGAAGGGAAGTTGGAGGGAAGGGAAGGGGAGGGGCATTTATAGAGCATCTAATATGTGCCTTATATTGTACAGAAGGATTTTATTTCCCCAGTTACAGGCATCTGTCTTTCTAGCTATAACCCTCCCAGGGACCTCTTTCTTGTGCTGTAGATCACTTGAGTATGTGGCTACTTCAGTGCACCCTCTACCTCTTTCCTAATCTAATCTGGAAGAGTAGACAGTCTTACACATATTAACTAATTTAGTCCTCATAAGGACAATCATACCTAATTCATATGAGGATTAAATTAGTTAATATGTGTAAGTCTTTTTAGAACAGTAACTGGTATACTTTCAAAGAAGTTAGCCATTACCGTTTTTATTAAATTGCTTCTACTGCTACTACTGTCTTTTCATTTTGTTCTGATGAAAAACTAATAGGAGATAGGAACAACTAAAGCTCTCTGTGGAAGGTGGTTCTGTCTTCATTTGTACACTAGAGTGTTTATAATAAAGCAAGAGACGTTAAATTGTCAGCAAGTTTTGATTATAAGAATTACTATTCAGAAGGGATTCCAGTTTGTTCATTCTTCAAACTTTTATTGAACTTTATACTGTTCAAGATATTCTTGTAGGGACTTGTGAACGGGAATGGTTATGTTCAGTATCTTCAAGATGTTTATAGTCTAAAGAGTATGTACAGTGAAGAATAGAAAGTAGCAGATAGCATAAGCCTTCATGGGCGAGGTGGAGTTTGTAGTAGTAGCCTTTTAGGATGAGTAAAATGTAAGGGATTGAAAATATAGGGATTAGGGGATTTTAGGACAGCAAATGGGATGAAACAAGAGTGAGGTGTGAATCTTGCAATTGGGATGGAATGGGGATGCTTGGGAAATATTGACTGGCTGTAGTTTGAGTGAGTCTCAGGGTGCCAAAGGGAAGACTGGCCGATAAGGCTTCATGGGACCAGAATGCATGGGACCAGGCTGCGTGGGCATGAAAATCTTGGATTTCAGATTAAGTGTTTAAACTTAAGTTGGTTGGCAGTTATGGACTATTGATTGTTATTATCGTTGTTATTTTGGAGACAGAGTATCACTCTGTCACCCAGGCTAGAGTGCAGTGGTGTTAGCTCAGCTCACTACAGCCTCCGCCTCCCAGGCTCTAGGATTCTCCTGCCTCAGCCTCCCAAGTGGCTGGGACTACAGGTGCATGCCGCCATGCCCAGCTAATTTTTTGTATTTTTAGTAGAGACAGGGTTCAGACTGTCGTAGTTCAGACCCTAATTTCCATGAATAATGTAGGAGACATAGTATGAGACTTGGCAGCTGACTGATGTGGAGAGAGGAATGTCGTGATGAGTGAATGAGTGAATGGAATGAACTAATGCTTTATTGGATGTTTTCCATGTACCAGGCTCTAGGATGACTCTTGAGTGTCAAGTCTGGATGGTTCAGGGATGACATTACTTAGTTGAAATGGGATGCAAGATATTAGAGCAAGATGACAGTAAGTTTTGAACAGGCTGGATTGGAGCTGCCAAGTGGAGTGGTCTAGCAGATAAATTGAAATGTGTGAGGAAAACATACCGGACAGCAGGATACTTTCCACCCACGCCCCTCTGCAATAAATACAGACATGCAAAAGTTCCCAAAAGTAGGGCTTCAGGGTTATAGTTCTCCCCAGCCTTGCTTCCTTTTTCCACCTGGACCAATTTCATATTGTCATTAGAGCAGCATTGCTTTCAAAATATCCTGAGACATAGCTTTCTCTGATAAGTCATAGCTGTGTTTGTGTCTTCTAATTTTTAGACCAAATTTTGAGCACATATTAACTTTAAGTAAAGAGGTGAGTGGGAGTGGGTATAGTGATTCTGTTGAGAGAAAAATGTTACCCCAAATCTAGATTTTTGTGTTTTCTATGCTTCTGTTCAAGCTATGTGGTTTTTTATTCATTGGACACATATGTGAATATATTGCTTTTTATATCATAGAGCAGGCGTCAGCAAACTATTGCTCACAGGCCAGCTGACTTTGTAAATAAAGTTTTATTGGAATGCAGCCACACTCATTTGTTTATATACCGTTTATGGTTGTTTTGGAGCTACAGAGGCAGAGAATTCTGAGTTGTTGTAGCATAGACCTATGGCCCACAAGCCTAAAATATTTATTGTTTGCTATTTTAAGAAAAAGTTTACTGACCTGTGTTATAGATGATCATGTGTAAATAGGCCTTAAAAATCACCTTAAAATTAAAAGTATTTTCTCAATGATCACTGTTTTAAGTGATCTACTAAAAGTAAAAACTAACAATACTCACTGTTGGCAGAGTTGGCAGAGTATATGAAGCTGGTATAATTCATATACTTCTGATAGTTTTTCCAATTGGTTGACTTTTTTAAAAGCTATATGGGAATATGTATAAAGCACCATAAAAATATTCCTGTCTTTGATCTCATAAAACTATTTTTAGGAGTCAAACCCAGGAAATTATTAAATGGAACTATTAAATGTTTTATACATTAAGATGTTTATCTAGCATAATCCATAGTAATGAAAAGTTAGGCACATCCTTAATGCTTTTATAGTATGTGATCAGTTAATTAGATAGTTAAATATCACCTTAATTGGTAACCATTGAAAAATAGTTATTTTGAATATTTGTGGACAGACAGTGAAAAACAGCATAGACATTGATATGGATACACTGATTACAACAGTATATAGACACAGAATACCACGCACTAAGGAAATAGAATAGGTTAAGCTGGCAAGATTATGTTTTATTTTATTTGAAAACTTTTATTTCATCTTATATTATTGTTTTCAATAGTAGAAGCAGCAGAAGGCTTTTTCCCCAGCACTGAAGTTCCTTTATTGTTTTCTTTAATGGAAGAGGGAAAGAAATTCATACAAGTTTATCATCCTCACTTATTCTACAAATGTCCCCTCCTTCCTACAGTATTAGCATTACATGTCTTATCTGTGTCAAACAAAATAATTTGCTATTTTCTGCCAATTCACACTATATAGGAAACAAATTGTGTTAAGGAAATGATGTCCTGAAATTCAATTCAGTTACCACAAAACAAATCTTGGCAGTTTTTGTTGCATATGATTAGATTATATCTGATGGCTCTTGGCCTTTACTGGGTTTTAGTTCAGTTTTTTTTTTGAGACGAAGTTTGCTCTTGTTGCCCAGGCTGGAGTCTGGAGTTCAATGGTGCAACTTTGGCTCACTGCAACCTCTGCCTCCCAGATTCAAGCGATTCTCCTGCCTCAGCCTCCTGAGTAGCTTGGATTACAGGCACCCACCATCACGCCTGGCTGATGTTTTGTATTTTTTGTAGAGACGGAGTTTTGCCTTGTTGGCCAGGCTGATCTCAAACTCCTGACCTCAGTTGATCCACTCACCTCTGCCTTCCAAAGTGCTGGGATTACAGGTGTGAGCCATCATGCCGGCCTAGATTTTAGTTTTTGATAATGGTGGCAGCATGTTCTTGGGATTCAACACAGAATATCTTTTTTAAGAAATTTAAATTTTATGTGTAATTATATTTTGAATAGCTAGTTAACACAAATAGTTCAAAATTTAAAAAAAGAAATGCCTCAGGGTGTGTAGTTTAAGTCTCTTTCTCTTCAGGCCAACCAGGTCCTCTTCCACAGGGGCAACCAATGTTATCAGGTTCTTGTTATTCTTTTGGTGATATTTAATATATAAGTAAATAAGTAATTTCAAAAATAATCTAAATGGCAGCCTGTTATATACACGGTTCTGTACTTTAGTTTCAGTAAACTTTAGTAATAATTACCCATCAATATATAGTTCTTATCTTGCAGTGGGTAATGGCTTTCCAGATAGGACATCACAAGCATAAACAACTGAAGAAACAGATAAATTGGACTTCATCAAAGTTAAAAACTTTTATACTTCAAAGGATACCATAAATAAAGCGAAGAGGACCCATAGAATGGGAGAAAATCATGTATCTCATAAAGCACTTATATCTTGAATATTCAAAGAATTCTTATAACTCAGTAATTCAAAAGAGAAATGATCCAATTTAAAATGGCAAAGGAACTGAATTAGCATGTCTCTAAAGAACATATACAGGCTGGGCGCAGTGGCTCATGCCTGTAATTCCAGCACTTTAGGAGGTCGAGACAGGTGGATCAGTTGAGGCCAGGAGTTCAAGCCCAGCCTGGCCAACATGGTAAAACACTGTCTCTACTAAAATTTCAAAAATTAGACAGGTGTGGTGCCATGTGTCTATTTGTCTGTTTTTTTTTTTTTGTTTTTTTTTTTTTTTTTGGCTTGGGTTGTTTATGATTTTGATGTCATATTTAAAAAACCATTACTTACTCCAAGATAAGAACTAACTATTAATGGGTAATTATTACCAAAGGTTACTGAAACAAAAGTGCAGAACTGTGCATATAGTAGGCTGCATTTATATTTTAAAATATTTTTAATAATCCCAGCTATTCTGGAGGCTGAGGCAGGAGAATCGCTTAAACCCAGGAGGTGGAGGTTGCAGTGAGGCAAGATCGTGTCACCACACTCCAGCCTGGGTGACAGAGCAAGACTTCATCTCAAAAAAAAAGAAGGTATACACATAACCAGTAGACACATGAAAAATGTTGAACATTGTTAGTCATGAGGGAAATAGAAATCTAAACCATGATGAGATAACATTTCATACCCACTAGGATAGCTAGAATAAAAAAAGACAGTGACAATTGTTGGTGAGGCCATGCAGGAGGTGGGACCCTCATGCACTGCCGGAGGGAATTTTCAGTGGTGCAGCCACTTTGGGAAACAATCTGGCATGTCTTCAGAAGGTTAAATCCAAAGTTATCCTATGACACAGCAATTCCATGCCTAGGTAGATATCCAAGAGTGATGGAAACTTCTACAGGAATGTTCATAATCACCAAAAAGTGGAAACAGCCCGAAGATTCATCAGTTAATGAATGGATAAATGAAATGTGACATATCCATACAATTGAATATTATTTGGCATTAAAATGAAATACAGTAATGATGCATGCTACAACGTGAATGACTCTTGGAAACATACGAAATGCAAGCAACCAGTTACAAACGATCACATATTACATCATTTCATGTATATGAAATGTCTAGAATAGGCCTCTCTATGGACATAGAAAGTAGATTAGTGGTTGCCTAGGGTTGGAAATGTTGGTGGAAATCAGACGGGGTTGGGGGTGACTGCTAAATGGCACAGGGTTTCTTTTTGGGGTGATGAAAATGCTCTAAGATTAATTGTAGTGATGTTTGTATAACTGTGAATATACTAAACAACATTGCATTATACACTTTAAATGGTTGAATTTTATGATATTTGAATTATACCTCAATAAAGCTGTTACCAAAAAAAAAACCTTATATCAAATTAAGCCTGATTATAGGTTCTTTAAATAAAATAAAACACTGTACACCCAGAAAAAAATTATTCTACTCTCTCTCTCTCTCTGTCTCTTTTTTCTCTGCAACCATAGTTCATTAAACTAGTTTCTATTGTTGAGAAATTTAGATTTTTCCAATCTTTAGTTACAATAAATGAAAATGCAATTAATAATCTATGTAGCTCTCTCCATATGTGGGAAAGTAAAGGTGCAAGTAGGAGAACTTTCTAGATAGAAGTCATTTTAAAAAGATGTTGTAGGCTGGACGCGGTGGCTCACACCTGTAATCCCAGCACTTTGGGAGGCTGAGGCAGGCGAATCACTTGAGGTCAGGAGTTCGAGAGCAGCCTGGCCAACATGCTAAAACCCTATCTCTACTAAAATAAAAATCGCCGGGCGTGGTGGTATGCACCTGGAATCCTAGCTACTTGGGAGGCTGAGGCAGGAGGATCACTTGAACCTGGGAGGGGGAGATTGCGGTGAGCTGAGATCATGCCAGGCCACTGCACTCCAGTCTGGGCCAGAGACCTTATCTCAAAAACAAAACAAAAACAAAAAAACAAAAAGAAAAGCTGTTGTAGAGGTTGCCGTCGGACAAAAAGGAGTGGTCATGTACCTCTTTTCTTTGTGGGTTTTGGGGTTTTTTATTTTGGTCAGGAAATTGGAGTTGGCTGCTCTTGTGTATCCAGCACTTTAGGATCTTCATATTAAGATACATATTAGTCAAGCTTCTGTTTTTTTGGCACAGAAACTTTATTTTTCCCAGGCTTGTTGATGTCACATTGTATAAAATGACAGTAAATGTACAAGGAATTTTTATATGAGAGGATTAGCCTTCAAGGTTATTTCCACGGGCTCAGTTTAAATTATAAATAATAAAACCAAAATATTTTAGGGGTACATTTTCCTCATTGGGACTGAAGGGTATTTATAGTTGCCTTTTTTTCATTCTAGGAAATCATTTTATTGTTAAAACAAGCGGATGCACTGGCCATGTGCATCGGCCTCTTTTCTGACGTATGATCATTTATAAAAAGGAGTTTGTCCATTTGACCTCTGTTTTACTTCCACAGACTGAGAGAGGGATGAACTAGTTATCTGTGTCCTTGCTGAGGCCCAGGTACTAAGTTATGCCTTCGAATGTGCCTGGAGGGCATGAGCCGCATATTCTCCATTATTTGAAGAATCTATTCTGCCAAGGACTGCCACTGCCTAGTGTATGCTTTTTGCAGAAAAGGGAAAGGAGTTCTTTGCCTTGTGATTATAACTTCATTTTTCCCCTCTGTCATGACCGTACCATGGAGTGTCTTTTGAACCAGTTCTGCAGCCTGATTACCTATTGTTAGTCTCAGGGCATTTTAGATAAAACGTCGGTGTCCTTGACTTCTTGGTCCACCAGTTATTCATCCAACAGTTATTTATTAAATTTCTTCCACTTTTCGGATTCAGTTCTAGATGTTGTAGTCTATATAGAAAATGTATTTAATACAAATTAACAGGGCGTTAGCCTCTGGGACCCTACTGTTTAGTTAGTGATGTGAGGCCCACGTATACCAAAACCAGCAAACTAAGTCACCCACGTGAGGACAGACTGGCAGCATAGAGCCAGCGGAACAGGCCACTCGAGTAGTTCTTGAGTTAAGCAGTATAGGCTGGGCACGGTGGCTCCCACGTGTAGTGGGAGAACTGCCTGAACTCAGCACTTTGAGACCATCTTGGATAATATAGCAAAATCTTGTCTCTCTCTACAAAATAAAAATAAAAAAAATTCGCCCGACAGAGCGGTGGGTGCATGACTGTGGTCCCGGCTATTCAGGAAGGTGAGGTGGGAAGATTGCCTGAGCCCTGGAGGTTGAAGCTGCAGTGAAACATGATTGCACCACTATACTCCAGCCTGGGGGACACAGCGAGACCCTATCTTAAAATTAAAAAAAAAAAAAAAGGAGTATAGACTAAGCCATGGGGGCAACAGGTGAATTCACAGCAAGGGACAGATATGAACAATCCTAGGAAGGGTGGCATGGTAAACTTAGATTTTGCCCATAACTGTGATTGCTGGTTCTGTCTCAACAGTGCTCAACAGGAACCTTGGATTACATTTTACAACGCTGTCAGTTGGCACTGCAGAATGTCCGTGACGATGTGGCCAATGGTGATGTCTGTTTGAAATCCTTTGAGCCTGCAGTTTTGAAACAAGGAGAAGAAATTCACAATGAGGTAAGGACTTTTCAAATTTTTTTTCTGAGATGGAGTCTTGCTCTGTCACCCAGGCTGTAGTACAATGGCACAATCTCAGCTTACTACAACCTCCACCTCCCAGGTTCAAGTGATCCTCCTGCCTCAGCCTCCCAAGTAGCTGGAATTACAGGCGTGTGTCACCATGCCTAGCTAATTTTTGTATTTTTAGTAGAGACAGGGTTTCACCATGTTGGCCAGGCTGGTCTCGAACTTCTGATTTCAAGTGATCTGCCTGCCTTGGCCTCCCAAAGTGCTGGGATGACAGGTATGAGCCATCGCACCCACCAAGACTTTCAAGAATTGTGAAAGATCTGAGATTCTACCCTACTTGCAAGCTAACAAAGTAATCTGCCGCAGTTTCATACCAGCATAAGTCATGAGACAATTAGGTCAGAGGTGGAGGACAGGTTATTACGTACAACAATAGCAGTCACCAGAGTCTCAGTATTTTTCTGTTAGTTCACGAACTGAGTCTGTTCAGGCTGCAATAACAAAATAGCATAAACCAGTTTTCTTCTATACAACAGAAATTTATCCTCACTCTTCAAGATCAAGGCACAGGCAATTTGATGTCTGGTGAGGGCTCGTTTCCTGGTTCATAGATGGCACCCTCTCACTTTCCTTACGTGGTGCAAGGGCCAGACGGGCTCCCTGTGGTCACTTTTATAAGGCTACTAAACTCTTTCATGAGAGTAGAGTCTTCATGATCTCTCACCTCTGAAAAGCTCCATCTCTTAATGCCATCGCCTCGGATGTTAGGATTTCAGGGTAAGAATTTTGGAGGGACATACACGTGCAGACCATAGCCTTCTCCCAGCTGCTGTTTCTATAGGGCAATGCAAAGTAGGCCAGATAACATAGACACATTGAGGGGTTGCATTACAGTAGAGGAACCTCGAGCTACAGGAACCTCGAGCTACTGGAACCTAATCTTTTTAAGGACAGTAAGCATGCCTGTCCTTTGCTTTCGATCAAGACACTGTCTTTGTCGTTCAAGTCTAGATGCACACCTGCCCTTTGTTCTGGAGGGAGAAACTCTCTATCAAGGCTGTTACTATATAGCCATCCTTGCAATGAGAGTCTGTACACAGGGCAGTCAGTGCTTGTGCACACGACACACAGAAGCACAAGAGACTCATGAAGAATAGTCTCCCAGTAAGGACTGCTGGGAATGGAGAGTAGGCCCTAGGAGCAAGTGTCAATGCCTTGCTTTTCGTTTATGAAATTAGTTGCAATTCTGTAATCTGTGAGACTGGCAGGTCTGAATCCCATGGGTCAATGTTTTGCAAACTCTACTTTTCCCACTAATACACTCAATATTTGCTTTATCTTTGGAAAACATACATTGTCTAGTTACTTAATATTTTTCTTTAAGTCAACAGTTTTTTCAACATATATAAATTTCTTTAAAAAGGAAGCTTTGTATTGCTACTCTAAGTGGAAATCCAGTATCATTAGCCAAAAGAAAAAGTATCCAGAAAAATAGGTCCAAGGAAAATAGGGTAATGTTATTACATTCCAGCAGATATTCTTGTCTGGAGGAGACTCTGAGACTCAAGTTTCCTTTCTTCTTGTTAAGAGGGAGATTAGTGGTAATGGTTTCACAGCTTCATAAATTTTCTAATAATCATTGGATTCCGCGCTTACAATGTGTGAATTTTATGGCTGGTAAATTATACCTCAAAAAAAACCAAAAACCCGTTAAAAGAAAAAAAAAAAGGAGACACTAAACTGTGGTAGAGAGCTGAAGTTCATTCACCAATCTGAGATGTTCTTTTTGATATAACGAGAAGGACTGATGGAGAATTTGGAGTTAAAAAATGTTCTTATGCATCCTTTCTATAATTAATTACCGAGCATGTGCCAGACACTCTTCTGGGTGTGTTAGAATAGATTGGTGAATAACATAGACATTCTAGTACAGGGAGATGATGATGGTAAGTAATAAATGTAATACATTGGTAGATTACGTAGTATGTTAGAAGTTGATAAGTGCTATAGAAAAGAAAAAAAAAAACAGAGCAAGATGATGGAACTTGAGAGAACTAGAGAGCCTCCCTGTTGAAAAGATATCCTTTGAGCAGAGAACTGAAGGACACGGGAGAGAGCCCTGTGGACATCTGGGGAATTGCATTTAGGGAAGAAGGAACAGCCACTGCAAAGGCTGTGTGGTGGGAGAATTCCGGGAGTCCAAGGAACAGATCAGGAGCAGTATTGTTTGAGTGGAGGGAGTAATGCCGCTACTTGCAGGAGAAGAGGTCACAGAGGTCGTTCCAGGAGACTGGGAAGCAGCAGATTGCATAGGTCCTTGGAGGCCTTTGTAAGGACAAGGACTTTCCTTTTTACTCTGCAGGAAATGAGGAGCCGTTGAAGAGTTTCGAGCGAAGGAAAAGTAATATCTTCTCCCATTGAGATATATAATACTTTTTAATGTCTTAATAAGTTGTTTAATACCTTGTGAGCTGCTCCACACTTTATGAAACATTGTCATAATCTCCAGAACCACAGGGGAAGCAATTCTGCCTTTCAGGGGACTAGTAACCACTTCTAATGCTGAGCTCAAGTCTGACTTGCTTCCCGTCATTGTGCCTGATGGGTGTCCCACTTTCTCTCTCATTAGTCCCTGCTGGAGACATTGCTGATAGCCAGAACTTCAGGACAGAAGACATTTATGGGCCTGATGACCTCACTGAATTAGATCGGGGAGCAAAGTTACATCTTTTTCCATATTTATAGTGTAGAAATCCTAATCTCAAAATTTAGTTATTTCCTTCTCAAAAACTCTCGCAATTTTCAGAGTCAGACTAGCAGAATGGGTGCTTTCTTTAACATGTCTATGTCCTCTCTTATTTCCCTATCCTTTTTCATCTTTTGTAACTGACTGTGATGTTCTGTTACCATCAATGGATGGGAGAAATCTGTAAACTCACACGTATATCTAACACAATATTATCATCTAAGTCTGTCTGCTTCAGGCTAGCTGTGGTGGCTCATGCCTGTAATCCCAGCACTTTGGGAGGCTGAGGAAGGTGGATCACTTGAGGTCAGGAGTTCGAGACCAGCCTGGCTAACATGGTGAAATGCTGTTTCTACTAAAAATACAAAAAATTAGCTGGGCATGGTGGTGGACACCCGTAATCCCAGCTACTTGGGAGGTGGAGGCAGGAAAATCCCTTGAACTCAGGAGGCGGAAGTTGCAGTGAGCTGGGATTATGCCATTGCACTCCATCCTGGGCAACAAGAATGAAACTCTATTTTAAAAAATAAAAAATTATCTGCTTTAGAAAGTGACTGGCTGCTTTTTACCTTGTGTGTCAGGGAGGTAGGGCAGAGATGTACTGTATTAGAAACCTTGGCCCCCCTGAGTTGAATAGAGAGTGTGATCTCGAATTTAAATAGTGTGTATGCCAGTCTTTACCATCCCACCAATCCTTGATTCTTCAAGGTCATCTCCTTCCTTTCACAATTAATTCCATATGTCAGGGAACATTGTCAGATACTCTTCTTTTGCCATACAAGTCGGCCTGGGATTCCGCAGTGCATGCCTGCTCTCTACTTTGTCCTGTTGTTAAATGGAAGCACACGTGTCCATAAAGTTTCTTGCTTGCTTTCCCCTTTCTGCAAGGCCATGTGTCTTTGCTGGACGAGTCACAGGATGAAGCCCTTGGTTTTACATACTGCAAGCTCTCAGTCTGTGTGAGTTTAGAAGTGGTTTGTTTTCCTTATCTAGGGTGGTTTCTAACTAAGGAGTTTGGGAAGTTTGGGCATATGTTTTGGAGTACCGTCTTGGAGATATTTTTTCCAAGTTAAGATGCTCAGGAAAGATTCTTGTTTAATTATAAGCAGAATCTTCTTCCATGTTATTAAATGGCCCACTTTTCTTTTTAAAGATAGTAAAATGTGGAAATCTGCCTCTTAGTAAATTTCCCACATGTGTGGGAAGAATGGAATGTTTCATAGTATTGTTTGGCTCTCGTTTTCTTCTGATTAGACCTGTGGCTTCCTTATAACTACTGCGAAAGGGTCTTCATAGGCTATCTCTTTGTAGATAGAGCCTTACCATGTCTCCCTGGTCTAATTTCTTTCTCAGTGAAATAACTTACTTCTGTTATTACAGTGAGACACTAATCCCAAGGGACGTGTTCACACATCTCATGAGGGAACTAACTGCCTGGCTGACTTGGGACCATATCAAGAGCCTAAACAAACTTGGCAGAAGAAAAGTAGGTGACGTTTGCTGACCCATAGGAATGATGGGGATGATTTACAACTATACGATGATAAAGTGACTCAGAAATATTCTTTTGAAATCTTACTAGCTTTGCTCTCCCAACGCCTGAGTGCCCAATGACTGAAGTCCAGACATGTGGGTTGATTCTATTTCTTTCTCCTCTTCTAGACTTATTTCCATTAAGTACATGTTCAAAAACAGGGAGTTAGGTTTGTAAATATCATGAACACTTTGAGAGAACCCTGAGAGCTCCTACTGGTTGTCTCCCTGCTGTTGATGTCTTCAGGGATGTGCCACCCGTGGAATGTTCCTTGGCCCCAAGTGAGCATTTGCCCTCCTGATGGCTTGCTTCTTATTTCTGCTCTGTTAGCTATGAGCCTCCTTTGAGAGGCTACGACTCTGGAGAAGGGAGGAAGACCCAACTTCTGTCATCAGTCAGTCAATATGGTTAGTCGTTGATGTTTGTTTGTTTGTTTTTGAGACAGTGTCTCTCTCCGTCACTCAGGCTGGAATGCAGTGGAGTGATCTTGGCTAACTGCAAACTCTGCCTCCCGAGTTCAAGCAGTTCTCCTGCCTCAGCCTCCCGAGTAGCTCGGACTACAGGCAGATGCCACCCCGCCTAGCTAATTTTTTGTATTTTAATAGAGACGGAGTTTCACCGTGTTTCCCAGGCTGGTCGTGAACTCCTGAGCTCAGGCAGTCTGCCTGCCTCAGCCTCCCAAAGTCCTGGGATTACAGGCATGAGCCACTGCACCTAGCCGCTTGTGTGGTTTTTTAGCCCCAAAGTAATTAGGACTCACTGTACTTTGGGTCCTGACCCTTTGCTTTTTATTCACTGTCCATGCTGTAGCTTTCTTTTCTAATTTCCAGAGTTTAAGGAGAAAATTTATTTTTTAACTCAAACTCCGAATCAAGCAGGTGGAAATATTTTTTTTTGCCTCCTTAATTAATTTTAAGGAGCAAGTCAGCTACTTCTCTTGGCAGTGGGGGAACTGGTAAAGGTGGCATTTGATTAAAATCCTGTAGCAGTTTTTACCCACAGCATTGAAATGAAAAAGTCAGGTCAAGGAGTTGAATAGAAGGCATGCCAGTGGATTTGATGTTCACAGACATTATGTCTCATGGGCAGTACTTCAACTCATGAGTAAAATTCTGTTAGGAGAAGGTCCTCAGTGTTGGTCACTTCTGACTGGCATTAGTGGAAGGGGTGGGCATGTATTGACAAGGACATTAATACTTTTCCTGGTCAGAAATTTGTAAGATTGTGCGATGCTTGAGGACAGGAAGTCCAAGGCCTTGTGGTCTTGTTAGTATGCATTCTCGACACCTAGCAAGTGCCTCACATATAGTAGCAGGAATTATTTCTGTCTTACAGATGACATAGCTGTTCTGTAGTGGTACCCACTTTTGAACTGACTCCAGAGCCCATATTCGTATTGTCTTTGGTCTCACTCTGTTGCCCAGACTGGAGTGCAGCAGTGTGATCATGGCTCACTGTAGCCTCAGCCTCCTGGGCTCAAGCGATCCTCCTGCCTCAGCCATTTAAGTAGCTAGGAGCACAGGCGTCTGCCACCACAACCATCTAACTTTGTTTATTTTTTGATTTTGCAGAGATGAGGTCTCACTGTTTTGTCCAGGCTAGTTTCAAACTCCTGGGCTCAAGTGATCCTCCTGCCATGGCCTCTCAAAGTGCTGGGATTACAGGTCAGAGCCCATATTTATTTTTTATTTTTTGAGATGGAGTTTCGCTTTTGTTGCTCAGGTTGGAGTGTAATGGTGTGATCTTGGCTTACCACAGCCTCCACCTCCCAAATTCAAGTGATTCTCCTCCCTTAGCCTCCCGAGTAGCTGGGTTTACAGGCATATATCACCACACCCAGCTAATGTTTTGTATTTTTAGTAGAGTCGGGGTTTCTTCATGTTGGTTAGGCTGATCTAGAACTCCCTACCTCAGGTGATCCGCCTGCCTCGGCCTCCAAAAGTGTTGTGATAACAGGCGTGAGCCACCGCACCTGGCCCAGAGCCCTTATTTTTAACCATGATGCTATCTTCCCCAAAAGACAATTCGGCATCCAAGGGAAGATGAAGGCATTATTTATTAAAATAGCCAGGCTGTCTCCTTGCTCCTTGTGCAATAGCAGATCCCCTAGATATGGCCTTCTCCTTGCTTCCAAGTTTTAATTTGCTGAAATCCAGTTTCTAGTGTACCCTGATAGATTGGATGAACTGGTTACATATGATAATCTATTTCCAGAGTCACCATGGTTGCCAAGCCTTCTCCATTCTGTCCTCTTCAATGGGCATAACCAGTCCAAAGACTGGAAAATCTTTTAAAACCTTTTCAACTCTTTCTAACAGAGGGCTTGATGTTTTGCTAACAGTCTCTTCCCATAGTGTGAACAAATTTTATGTGAAATCCATCAAAAAGAACTCATTTTTTTCTTGAGGTAAGTATGTTGTGAAACCTGTACCTTCACGGACATTGAACCACACTTGTATTTATTCTTTCAAAGTACTCAAGGTTACGCCTGTTAACCACTGTCTTTTCACACTACAGATAAGTTTTAGCAACTGTTGTTTTAATCTTGCCTACATTCCTTTTGTTTTGTTTTGTTTAAAGAGCTTTAACTGAAATCAGTTCTACAGAGCAAACAAACATTTAGTTAATGTAAACGAAAAGCTTTTCATGTGACAGTATTCTTAGGTTACTCATGTGAGCCATTTTCACCATTGTTAAATCTTCACGAGTTGCTTTTGTTTGCCTCATGAAAGTTCAATGTAGATAAACACACAAAAAGATGCTTTGTGGTAACAGGTGAAGATTATAATAGCTCCATGTCTGTATATGGAACATGATCACCTTAGCAAAGCCAGACAACCCAGCATGAAGCTGTGGGGGCTCCACATTTCTTTAGCGGGCAGTGGTGAAAAGATTATTTAAGATCAGTAGCATTGTACCTTGATTTTTCAAGTTGGTGAATGATAGAAGACTTAGAAAATGGATAGAAGACAATTTTTAAAATATTTCCATAGCTTAACTCAGCCTCTCATCTAAATATGTTGGGATTATTTTTGTTGCAAGGGGCAAAAGATTTAACCTGAACCGGCTTAAGGGAAAACAGCTTCAGGAATAGTTTGATCAAGGGGCAGTTGATATCATCAGAATCTCGTTTTTATCTTTTCATCTTGCAGCTACCCCCTACTGTGTTCTTCCCGTTAGCTGGCAAAATGTCTGCAGAGTCTTTTTCCTGTAGTTTCTGGTAGTCTTGAGACTTATTCTGATTGGACATATTCCTGTTCCTCTCAATCCTAGTTCTGTGACTAGAGAAATCTAGTTGGCTGATTGGCCTAGACCTGGGTTGCATATTCCACCCCCAGCACTGAAGCTGGAGCTCTCCTCAGACCACATGGGCTGTTTGGGGAAGGGATGGGTGGGATTTGGTTAGAACAGGAGGACTGCCAAGATGGTAAACAATTGAAGTTTACCATAGTAGATTCATCGGAAGCAAAGTCAGTTACTTGAGTATTTCTGATCTGAAAATCTGAAAGTTGAGATGCTCCAATATTTAAAGCTTTTGAGCACAAATATGATGCTCAAAGGAGCATTTCAGATTTTGGATTTGAAATGCTTGACCAGTAAGTATAATAGCACAAACATTCCAAACTCAGAAATACTTTTGGTCTCAAGCATTTCAGATAAGGGGTACTCAACTTGTACTCACATTTTTGCTACTCTTTTTTTTAACCTATTGACACCTTCCCTGAGTTGAAAAATGACAATTTGAATGGCTTTGTAGGTTTATGTATGCCTCTGTAATTAGTTTTACATATATGGATTAAGATTATTACCTCCTGGCCCATAGGTAAGCTTTTTTAATTTATCATAATTTAAGAAACTTATAATTGATATTTCCTAACATGTATCTGTGTTTTATTTTTAATACCAGCCTAAAGACATTTAATAAAAACATATTCTGTACATGTCATTCCTGTCATATTCCTGCTTTATAATTAGGATCTCGGGGTCCAAAGTGGCTCCCGCCGGAGGTCATGGCGCTCGCGAAGGGGAGGTCATCAGTTCAAGGCTAACCTGAGCAACCTCATATAATTAGGATCTCAGTATTTGTTCTTGATTGACTTATAGTTTCCTCACATCTGACTAATAAATATGATTGAAAATCCCTCTCTGGCCAGAGAATTTCAGCATTTAAATTGTTTTATTTTATTTTTGTTGACACAGAGACTCTTGCTCTGTTGCCCAGGCTGGAGTGTGGTGCACAATTCTAGTTCACTGCAGCCTCAAACTTAAGCTCAAGGAATCCTCTTGCCTCAGCTTCCCAAGCAGCCAGGATGACCAGCACACACCACTGTGCCTGGCCAGTTTAATTTTTTTGTGGAGATGGTATCTTGCAGTGTTGCCCAGGCTGGGCTCAAACTTCTGGCCTCAAGCGATTCTCACGCCTCAGCCTCCCAAAGTATAGGGATTATAGGCATGAACCAACATATCTGGCCAGACCTCAGTTTTAGGACTACTCTTTTCTTAACTTTGCAGAAATGCTCTGGAGATGCCAAGTTATGCTGGGAACTGGTTAGGCTGATTTTTTCTCACGTTTCTCATCCTATGGCCATCAAGTTACCAGAGGAGAATTGAGAGACAAAGTCATCGTCCTTGCTTGTCTATCACAAGGGGATTAAAGCCACCATCTTCTCTTTATGGTCCACAGGTTGAGTTTGAGTGGCTGAGACAGTTTTGGTTTCAAGGCAATCGGTACAAAAAGTGCACTGATTGGTGGTGTCAACCCATGGCTCAACTGGAAGAACTGTGGAAGAAGATGGAGGGTGTGGTGAGTACATGAGACCTGGCACCGTGTTTTGGTGTTTTGTGGGCTGCTGTGTTATACAGATCCCCCACTGCCTCATTTGCATAGGCAAATGTAGATTTAATTACTCCAAATTATCAAGTTACATTCCTGGTAAGATGTTGGGTATAGCCAGGATTTTGTCAGTACAACCTCAGTTTAGTTCAATAAGCATTTATTGAATATTTTCAACTTCATGCAAGATGTGCTGGACATACACTAGGAAGTGGTGACGAGAGGGTAACAATTCAACAATAATTTTTAACATTCATTTACATTTTTCTATGCATCAGGTGCAACTCTGGTTTCCCAGTATTAACTTTAAAAATTTTTACAGCAATGCTAAGAGGTATAGAAACTTTTCCAGACCTTAGTTTACGGATGTGAAAACTGAGAGGCAGGGAAATGAAGGACCTCCCCCAGCGTCACTGAGTCACTGGCAAAGCAAGGTGGAAACCTAGGCAGTCTGGCTCCTAGCATATGCTCTCCACCACTGTGAGCCGACATTTGAATAAGGAGAGGGGCACCAATATCACCAGATATGACATTAGCTGAAGTGAAATCCAGTAATAGTTAAAAGAAAATCATTGTTCAGAGGTAGAAGTATTACATTCAGACCACTTGAGCTGGCTAGGATGGTGGTGAAATGGCAGATGTGGCTTTTGGGGCCCTTGGATGGTGAGGAGTATGATGGGATGGGGCATCTGGGGAAGAACATTAGACTCCAGGAACTGTGAAAACAAGACCAGAAGTGAGGAAATAAGATGTGACCAGAGCATCGAGTACGGACAGTGTGGGAGGAAATGGAGCCGGAAGGCAGGTTGAAGCCACGCGGAGGTCTTGCATTAAGGCTTAAATAATAATAACAATAGCAAACACTTACATAATACTTACCAAGTATCAGACATTTTTCTAAGTGTTTTCTATATAACTTTTAACTTTTATGACAACCCCATAACATAGGTGTAATGTGTTCCCCGTTTTTCTGACGAGGAAACCAGAACACAAAGGCCTTATGTAACTTACTCTAGGTCACTCAGCTAATAGGTGAGGGAGCTGGGATTTGAACTCTAGAAGCCTGCCTCTGGGATCCTTGCCCTTCGCCACCTCACTGTTCGGCCTCCAAACAGCTGGATTTGGAATGTAGTAGAAAAGTGGAAAAAGCCTGCTAAACTCTGGAGATAGTACCACTGCACAGAATTTGAAATGCTGGAAACAGTGAACTAATCTGCAAAAATGGAGAGCTATTGGTAATCCCTATTTTATTTTTTTAAAGCCACTTTATTGGGGTATGATTACCCTACAAAAAGCTGTACGTATTTAATGTGTACAACCTGAGTTTAGAGTTACATGTACATTCATGAAACCATCACAGCCATCTGTGCCATAAACCTATCGATCACCTTCAAAAGTTTTCTTCTCTCTTATTTATTATAATTATTATTGTGATAAGAACATGTACCGTAGGGTCTATCCTCATTCCTACTTTATAATAGTGAAAATGTTAAGTCACAACTCTGAAGGGCCCGGTTTAAAAGTCTGGATCAAAATCCCAAAGTCCTTGCCTTCCAGACATCTCAAATCTTTAAGTCCTACCTTTTCATGGGTATATGTCTGGGGAAGGAATGTTATAATCCTTTTAATGTATTAATAGTATCACAAAAATTGATTTCTCCAAAGACCTGAATCGATGCAAAACTGAGCATTATAAAACCGAGTTGGAGTTAATGAAAAGTCTGTGCCTAAATCTGCTTAGTTCTGTTGCTAAACTAAGCCTGTTACGAGTACTCTCCACTTTTATGGGCTGCTTATATAAAGGCAGCTTCAGTTTCCGGGAAACATTTTCCCCCCTACTGTGTAATTCTGATTTTGTCCATTCACATATGAGTTAGAACCTCTTAACCTGATGAACCTTGGCTCTAAGACATCAGATTGACTTTGAAGTTGTCATTTGACAGCTCTGTGAATTTGAGTTGAAGAGCAAATAAGAAAGGAACTCTTATTGATTTTGTTTTTAAAAAACTACATTTTAAAAACTCATTTTGTTCAAGAGCTTTTTTTTTTATTTTGTAAAAAAAATGGCTGGTGGGTCATGCCTGTCTTCTCAGCACTTTGGGAGGCTGAGCTGGGAGGATTGCTTGAGCCCAGGAGTTTGAGCCTAGCTTGGGCAACATAGTGAGACCTTGTCTCTACGAAATTAAAAAAAATTATTCAGGTGTGGTAGTGCATGCCTGTGGTCTGTCTGAGCTACTTAGGAGGCTGAGGTGGGACGATCATTGGAGCTCAGGAGGTCGAGGCAATAGTGAGCGGTGATTTCATCACTGCACTCCAGCCTGGGTGACAGAGTGAGACCTTGTCTCACACACACATGCACAAAAATAAAAAATAAAGTAAAATAGTTGGTATTGTGAGCTTACCAGTGATAGTCATTATGAATTCATTTAAATAATTTAGTTATATCTGTGTAAATTTGTGTATAAATAATTTGGTGATGGTGTCACATTTGTTAAGAGGGAATCTCTTTTATTTGTTTTGTCACTCTCCCATAAAAAATACCAAAAGGAAAAGCAATTCTGCGAACTCTCTGGCATTAGTTTCTCTGCAGTTGGTGTGGCATTCCTAAGTGTTCTGAGGGAGATCAGTGGCTTCAGTGTTTCTCCTCAGCATACCTTGGGATGATCTTTATCAGCAGAGTGAAGATTTAGGCCCACATAAAAGGGACCGTTCTTCCAAATTATATGTAAGTAAGCATTGCTTCAAGCCTTATACAATGACGTTTTACAAATTCATAGTAATTTCACTTTTCTTTTGCAAAAGACAGAACAGAATAATTGTTGGACGGATCTACAGTTCTGTGGCTCTGTTTGTGCAGTGCCATCTGATATTTCTATACTCGGGTGGAATTGGCAGTGACTGGTTAGATTTCCACTTGGTATCAGCCCACCTCATATTTTCTCACTTGCAAGCAGTAGGGGGCAATGTTGAGCTACCAGATTGAGGCCCAAAGATGCTAGCCTTTCAGGAAAATGCATACAAAGTACCATTAACTGTCAAGAATTATCCCTGTTGCTTCAAGTTAGCTGTAATCTCCGGGATTCCATAACACAGGATATCAGTTGTGGGTTAACAAATTCAACAGCAATTTAACATAAAATGTACAGTGTTTGGCGCACATTTGGATTCTATAGAGTTAGACTAATCCAGATGGAAATTCTGAGTGTCCCCACGTTGCTTCCAGGGACTGTCCTACTCAAAATTATTATCATTTTAGACAAATGATTCTTTTTTATTTTTATGCTTTTTGTTTTGAATTGTAAAATCCTGTGTGTTGTGGAAGGATTTCTTTAATCAATGCATTTTGTCTGTTCTGCAACATAACATCGATCTCTTTTGCTGAGAAAATAAAATAAAAAAAACCTCAGGCAATATGTGCATTTCTTTTCCCCTTTTGCTTATGAGTAAAGCAACCTTTGACGGCCCTTGTACCGGGGAAGAGACTTGCGCTGTGATTTCTGTCTTTGTGTTCCTTTTGCACTTTGTGGTTGGAAGGTGTAGTCTCAGGAAGGATACAGAAGAATGGAAAATGAGCTTTGGAATAGCTTTTCTTCCACTAATGGTAATTGCTTCACATGTCATAACCAGTCACATATTTCAAAAAGTTTAGTCAGCTGTCTCGAAAACTCCCCCATCCTCTGCTTCCCATTTCCTGTCCCAGCAAGCACCATTTTTATCACACTGTTTATTCTTGCCATTTTTCTCCCGGCGGATAGTTTTACGCCGTGCATGCTCTTGTGATGTAAATGTTAAACCTTATATTTGAATGACATTCTGATAAAATATCACATTTTCCCTGAATATTACCTCATGAATTTATGAGCCATTAAGCCCAAAGCAACAAAACCCTTTCTTATAACCCAGGAATTTAGTCTGCCCTTTCCCCTCCTCTTTGCTCCCTATTGAGGATGGCATTATAACACTGTCATACTATTCAAATATTTGTTTTTTATATTTACTTTTTAAAACCGATGCACTACCTACCCCCTGCCACCCCTGCCATCCAAGATGATTGTATTATGAGAAGACTCTTCAGGATAAGAGAGAGTTACCATTTGAAAGAAACTGTACAACTGCTTTGCTTTCTGGGTAAAGAGAAATATGAAAAGCTGAAGTCTCCTGTGAGGTGAGGAAGTCCTGCCATAGCCGGAGATTCAACGGATAGGCCATGCGTCTCTCAGGGTCTGGTATCGCTCTTTGCAAAACTGACATTTATTTTACCTATAAAAATGTTTTAACACTATCAAATTCACAATGATACAGAAAAGAATGCTAGGTGTGAAATCCTCTAAATTGATGACATTTATTCATTTCCTATTGACCTTAAAAAAAACAAAAGGTCAATTTCATATAATCCAATGGAAATATTTGAGAATCGTTTCCAGAGTAAACATTTTCTCAAGTATTGATGATTTCTATACCTGAGAGAAATTCTTCATGCTTTTTTCCTTGGTTTTTTCTTTTAGAAGAAAAGGTAGATCCTGATGGTTTTGAATGTTTTGAATTGCATTTCCTGTTCTGACAATTCCTTCTGCTGTTACAGTAATGCATTTATATGGCAGTTGGCCTTAATAACCTTTATTGACTTTAGTGGGTAGGAGCCAAGACTGGATTATTTTAATGTATCCGTTTTGAAACACTGTAAAACACAACATATAATTATGTTAGGTAAGCCATAGGCTACATTTAATTCTATTCATTTATGTTAAAATTTGGCACAGGAGAGCAGGGAGATGTGGAAAATGAGTAGGTGTTTTATTTAATAATGTAACCAGTTTCTTGTTGTTAAAGTTTAAAGAGAGAAATGTACTTAAGAAGGTAAAGGTTGTCCCTGACAAGTTAGTAATAATAGTTTAATTTCAAGATGCGTCATGCCTTTTACCCTGCTTTTTTGGCCTGTGTAAATCATCTGGGAAGGCCCTTGCCAGGAG